ATCAAATTAATGAATTTTTATATTGCCTTTTAAGAAAAATAAAACTTTATATAAACACCATGAGCTTCTTGGTTTTATTTGGTTAAAATCGATAAAAATTATAAATTAAATAAAAGCTTAAAGATATCTATAGTCGAAAATTTTAACACCCACTTCTATCGGAGAAGCAAAAAACGTAAGAGAAATTCAAAGTTATTTCTCCATGTCTAGTCACCGAAAGGGTAACAACACCATTCTTCATTTCACGCTCAAATAAACGGAAGCATTGTTTTTTTGCTTGCACCTCAATAAAAGTTTTAGAAGAGTATTTTTCGTGAATAAATTTGAAAAATGTCTAAAACTTACTACTAGATGCTTTTATATAATTTTAATTAAGAATCCGAGGAAGTTGACTGTTAATTAAAGAAATATTTCAAGTTTTAACAATTTATGTTACTATGATTTTTTTTTTATCAAGTAGTCTAATTATAAGAAATTTTGGACGCTGTCCATGTACCTTAAGTTCTACATAAACGTTCGTGACTGCAAGAATGAGTTAAAATGTATGCTCATTTTTCAGAATTATTTATACCAGTGAAAATAAAACTACCCTTTGTACTAGAAGGCATGTAAATTAAAAGCTGCCATGGAAGTAAAAGTAAAGCGAAAATTCACTTGTATTGTAAACAAAACAGATTGTTAGATACATTGAGAAAATATTATTTGGTTGTGAGTATTAAACAATCACATACCCAGGAAGTTGAGGTCTACGTACACATATAATACTAATACTTTGTTTTCAGATGGTTTTATTTTTTATTATTCAAGGACACAGTTGGAGCTTGTCGGTACTTGACAAGAGCATGAGAAACAAGTTCACCCTAATAATTTTCGTCGCGTGAATAAGGAGACCAAAAAATCAATAATACAAGCGTTTGCAGCGCGTATATACACAGTTCGGTGAATATAAGTTCTGGGGCTTTGTTTTTTTCTTATATTGTATTATGTTAAATTTATACTTTATACATATTAATATATAATATAAATATAATAAAAAAGCGGTACGACTTACGAGCGACATGTTATTTATTATGTTTTCATTCGAATAGTCTAATATGAGCGTATGAATAAAAAATAAAACGCATTAATTTTAATAAACGACTATCAGGTTGGCAGAGCAGATTCAGAATTAAGTTTTTCAGTGACTATTTTTACTATTATTATTGATAATAGCTAAGTATAATGTAATATTATATTATCAAGTGTAGTGGAATGAGACTGATAACTCATATCCGGCCTTGAGAGTACCTGGTAATACTAGAAAGATAGTGGGGATGGGGTTGAACAACCCACCGGACGTTCACCGACGACAACAAAGCGCCTTTAGGATGATCCCTAGACTCCTTTTTTTGTCTCTTTTTTTTTTACTTCATTTTTCCGTCTTTGTCTCCATTTCGGTTAAATCTTCTCCGTCAATTTTTATTTCAACTTCTTTTAACAAGGGTTACCTCTACCTATTTTTTTAACAAAGAAATTACCGAATACGTGAGTTGGTTTTTTAACTTTTGGTTAATTTAACGACGAGGATACTTATTTAAAATGATAACGCTATTCAAGCTTCCTTTTTCGATAACGACATCCTGGTGCATGAACAATTCGCTTACAATGTTTTTATTAATATAGACACACTCATTAATTACGGAAAGATGAACTCAAATTGCCGGGAATTTTATTTCACTATCGCTTAAAGATGAAATAACTTCTAAAAGTATTATATATTATATATATTACGGCTTTGAGCTTTGTTTTAATTATTCAACTGTACTTTCACCGGATTATTGATGAACAACTTTAAGCTATCATGATTAAAGTGAAAGTAATACCATCAAAAAGAATTTATTATTATTGTTATTAAGTTTTTATAATTCATTATGCAAAAATTTTTAGTTTATAATGTCCACATGTTTTTAGTTTACTAATTAATTAATATTTAAAATAAATTCTCAGTTCTAATTATAATAAATATTGATGACATTAAAGTTAGCTGTCACTTGACAATTTTTTAATTTTATTTAACAAAAAGATTTTTTCCAAAAAATTGCATTTTTTATTTTTTTAAATTTCTAAATGTCAATTTTTTTTCTTATTTTTTTTTTTTTTAGCCATAATTTATTTGTTATAAAATTTTTTAAATTATTAAATATGTGCTATATTAATTTTCATTAAATATTGTGATAAATTTTAAATTTTAACCAATAGTTTGGATTGAAAACTTTCGTAAATATTTCTTTTGGATAATTTATTTAGTTTAATTTTTTTCGTAGACAAAAATAAATTCTATGATTAAAAAATAAATTTCTTACTAATTATTTGTCACAGCGACAGTAATAATTTATAAATAAAACGAAAACTATAAATAATTACAGCAGATTTTTTTTTTTACCAAAAAAAAACAGTTTTGTTTATATTTGTCTACTCAAAAAAAATGAGCTCGAGTTCTGGGACAGCGGCTGAATCATAACAGCGGGAAATCGACGACCCGGAAGGTGTCATCACGTGATTATAAATTTACTTTGCATAAACTACTTCAATAATTATTTATAAACTGCACTCTGCATATATGCATGTATATTTTCTAATTTAATTAGTACAACTAACAAATAAGGCTTAAGGCTTTTAAAATAATTGCCGTAATTGATTAAAACTTTAATAAGCGAGCGTATAAACAAACTTATAATTAACTATAAATGTTAAAAATGAAACAAAACTCCTTGAAATTTTATTATAATTTAAAGCAAGCCTGAGAAAGTGTGAAAAATGTTGACTTATTGAATAATAGGACGTTTTATTAACGGCGAGTGAATTTTCCAACGATTAATTTTATGTAAATATTCTGCATCACGGGTTCCTAATTAATAGCGGACGTATATTAACGATCGAGTTGAAAAAAATAAAGTTTATAAAAAAAGTGCACATGCACCTATTTATTTTACCTACACTGAAAATGCACTCACACATGGGCGTTTTGCAGAAGAGCCACGGAACCGGAACAGACCACCTCCGTAAAATTCGATAGTCCACCGTTCCAGTCGTGTCGTTGAATTTTAAATTCTCTTTGTCGTTACGCCATAATATCTACATACACATATACTCACTACACCAATAGATATTGTTTCTTTATTTTTGTTATTATTATTGTTTGTCTTTGAGAGGTCAACGAACGTAAGAGAATTTTTTTATTCTCATCAATATTACTCCAAAATCCATGGATCCACCTAGTTCACTGTTCCCGTATATGACACTGAAGTTAGCAGACGCCTAAAAATTTTTGATTTTTTTTATTAATTAAATTACAACTAAAAAGATATTTTTAAAAAATTGCACTTATAGCTTTTCAAGTTTTTTGCATGTGACAATTTGTTTTTTTAATTTTTTCAATAAAAAATCTCTAAAAATTTTGAAATGTCGGCTAACTTCATTTTCATTTTCCGTATGGGGCGATATTGTTCTATATCTGTTGGATTATCGCCGTAAAATATAAAATATAAGTGTTACAAAGCTATAGGGTACCGTTATCGAGATTAAAAATAAATAATAAAACTAAAAAAAGGGAAACCGAACGTGAGAACTGAGCTGCAAAAATTATGGCTGAACATAGATAAAAAAAATTGTTTAAAATATTTTTATCATTTCGCCAATCTAAATCTAAATACCCATCAAATTATATCTTGTCTGATATAAAATATAACACATAACGATATCTAGTTTAGTGTATAGTAGGGAAATTACAATCAGAAAACAAACCGGTTTGTTCACTAAAACAATCACAGGATCCTCAATACCAGCTGATTGTTGTAACCAATCGTCAATTAAAAGCCGGAACAAAGCTGTCGATTAAAATGAAATTTAAACAGTTTGAATTGATAATAATACGATTCGATATTTGATTACCATACCATTCAGCATTGATCCTTTTGTTCTTGCTTTTGCTCTTGCTCTTACTCTATCTCCACCATATCCATATCATATCACAACATATATGTGTGTACATACTTGCTTTAAACTTTTACTATTTGATTATCTATTTTTAGCTACTTGCAAGTAAAAGCACCCTAGATCTTTCTAACTTTATAATTATTTAGATCAAATAAAAAAAATAATCCTTACCTGTATTTACATTTAATAGTAATCCTTGTCCTGAATCCTGAATATGATTTCAACCCAATGCAACAGTAGTTTTATTTTGTTGTTTTTTAATTTTTCTTAACAATGTACAACAGCTGGATAATTAAAAAATAATACACAAAAACAAAAGCACACCAGTGTCTGGTACTGATTTTAAAAAAAAATAGTTTTATTAACGCGTGCCGACGACGGGCGAGCGTGGATGCACCCACCGCAAAAGCGAACTGTCAGTTACCGTGGGTTACTCATATTATTGGAAAATAATATCCTACACTAAAAATTTTCACAGCGGGGCTGCTCTTGCGCAGCCGGCGCGATACTACCAGCTAGCAAGCAGCCATATTTACCCTTACCCACCCAATAAGTACACCATTTACCATTTCCATGGGTTTTGAGGTCCCCTCTCGAGTGAAACTCTATTACCCATAACCAGGATTGTCGCACTACTAAAAGTTACCCTTCACTTTTGCTAAAATTAATTATTTTTATTTTTTTAATTGCTTAATTTATTTTATGATAGTTATTATTATTAACATTTGATTTTTTTTTCTCATTAATTGTTTTAAATTTTAGTTATAACATTTTCAACGAATTAAATTCAAGTTAATGCGCACGCGCTTTTGAGGATCTCTGGAACACGCATGCGCGTGAGCGGCCATTTGCCTGCGCGTAAGCCAAAATAACGGAGCGTCAACGGGGTATTGTACTGCCGGCTGTGTGTACCCGAGTGCGAGGAAACGGGAAATTTTTTACTGGATTTACTTGGCTATCCAAAGAACCCTGTACTCCAGTGACAACAAAAATAAAAAGTTTTCACATAATTTTTGTTAAATATAATGGCGAGTACACGATTTTTAGGAGCATTCACACGATTTGGAAAAAATCGAACACTCATTTCTAGGACAGGTAATTCTTATAATTGTACATAAATATATACTTTATCTTGGTATAATTATTTATATTCTACGTGAATGATTTTATGCACAGTAATTTATCTTGAGACAGTAACCTTTGTACCCAAGTTAAAAAAAGGTATTTTTCAAGTCATTGTCTTCTAAAAAGTTATAAAAATATCTATTTTTGTTTAAACTAACAATTTTTATTTGACAGTTTATTGAAATAGAATAATTGTTTTTGTATAGATAACAATTTATTTATAATTATGTGGATGTTGCTTTTTTATTATTTATTAATTTAAAAAATATTTTTTACAGTGGTCAACATTCCTTTAAGATGTTTAGCGACAGCTGGAACTCAAAAGCATTTAAAATATCGAGTTGTTGGAGATGTTGCTGTAATCACTATAGATTCACCAGGGGTCAAAGTAAAATTCGGATAAGACAATTGATAATTATACAAAAATATGTTTATGTATTAATTCAATTACTTTATTTATTTATTTATTTGTTATTATTTATGTTATGTTTAGGAAAATACATTGAATCGCGAAGTGATGGAGGAAATGGTACATATACTAAAAGACATTGAGTCTAATGCATCTGTTAAGTCAGCTGTACTTATAAGTGGTAAACCAAACAGTTTTATTGCTGGAGCTGATATTAGTATGCTACAAAATTTAAAAACTGAAGATGAGGCATACCGTACTATTAGAGACGGCCAGTCGATTATGAACTCTATTGCTGATTCTCGTAAGCCTATTGTTGCAGCAATACAGGGTACTTGCTTAGGAGGTGGTCTTGAGGTAGATAAATCATTTAATTTAATTTAAAATTAATTTTACAATATCGCGTACCAAATGCCAAAAGGTTTTGCAAGGCCAAAAGGGCGTATAATTTTTTTTTTGGTGCCAATCGTTTTATAAACGGGTTCTAAGCCTAAAAAAAAAAAATTTCCAAAGCCAAAAAGGCGTACATCTCAAGTTATACGCCCTTTTGGCTTTAGAACACTGAAAATTTAGTGATCTAAAACCAAAAGGGTATATTTTTTAACTTCTCGCTAAGAAAATAAAAAATTTTCTAAAATCGGGAAGTTATTGGTTTTACCTTGTTTTTCGAAAATAGAGTTCTCATCAGATCTATATTCAGCTCAATAAATTTTTTTGACATATACATATTATGGATTTTAGCTACAATTGTACGCAACGGAATCGGTGGTTTGAATTTTTAGGCGAGAGTAGAGCATACCTATGCTCGCGCTTAAGGCATGTAATTAAACAAGAATATATCTTTTATTAAAGCTATAGCGGGCAAAAAATTATTATAATTATTCGAAGTTAAAAAATACAAGAATAAACTAATATCAAAATACCGAAAGTTTATTGGTGTACAATTCTTGCATCGTCTCTATCTGCATCTTCTACAATTTTGTCTGAAAAAAAAAAAAATTTATAAAAAAAATGAATATTTCAGTACGCGAAAAATTTTTTAATTCATATGCTTTTTTAATAATTGGACTCTCCAAGATGATGAAAAATTAAAGTTACTACCATCCAAAATGTTGATTTTTTCAAAATTTTTTTTCATACAAACCTTTTCTGGACAATTTTGAAGACTGTTTTTATCGATATTTTGAAAAAGCCTGACTTTTTTTACGCCTTTTTAGCATGGAACCCTATCTAACTGCTGTAATACGCCCTTTTGGCATTTGGTACGCGATATAAACAATGAAATATAATAATAATTTATGATTGTTTATAATTATAGGTGGCACTTGCTTGTCATTATCGACTGGCAGTAACAGATAAAAAGACAGTTCTTGGGTTACCAGAAGTCATGCTTGGACTTCTTCCTGGTGCTGGTGGTACTCAAAGACTTCCTAGACTTACAATGCTTCCTGATGCTTTAAGTATGATTTTGACAGGCTCGAAGCTAAAAGTTGACAAAGCTAAAAAATTGGGAGTTGTTGACTTGGTAGTAAATCGCCTTGGGCCGGGTTTAACAACAGGTGAAGAAAATACCAGGAGATATTTAGAAGAAACTGCTATTAAAACTGCCAAAGACATTGCAGATGGTCAATTAAAAATAAATCGTAAACCTAAATCGTTAATGGGTAAAGTTATGAAATTCGCATTTGCAACTGACTTTATAAAGGATAAAGTATTTCAAAAATCGAAACAGCAAGTTATGAAAATGACTAATGGATTGTATCCAGCTCCACTTAAAATTCTTGAGGTTGTACGTACGGGCTTGGATAAAGGAATTACCGCTGGACTTGAAGCGGAAGCTCGTGGATTTGCTCAATTAGCAATGACTCCTGAAGCTAAAGGTTTGATTAGTTTATTCTTTGGTCAAACGGCTTGTAAGAAAAATCGTTTTGGTGCTCCTAGTAAACCTGTGCAAAAGATTGCGGTTCTTGGAGCAGGATTGATGGGTGCTGGAATAGCTCATGTAAGTATTGACAAAGGATACAAAGTTGTTTTGAAAGACACCACTGATAGTGGACTGTATCGTGGCGTGGGACAAATTCAAAAGGGTTACGATACTTATGTTAAGCGAAAACGTCTCAGTGTTGTTGAAAAAGATAAAATAATGACTAACTTAATACCGACATTAGATTATAAAAAATTTAAAGATACTGATATTGTTATTGAGGCGGTATTTGAAGATTTAGCTGTTAAACATAAAGTTATAAAAGAAATAGAAACTCATGTGCCACAACATTGTATAATTGCGACAAACACATCTGCAATTCCAATAACTAAAATAGCCGCAGGTAGCAGTAGGCCTGAACAAGTTATTGGAATGCATTATTTTTCGCCAGTTGATAAAATGCAACTACTTGAATTGATAACACACAAAGGTACTGCTACTGAGACGATAAAAACAGCTGTTGATGTAGGTTTGAAACAAGGAAAGGTTGTTATCACTGTTGGCGATGGTCCAGGTTTCTATACAACTCGTATTCTCAGCGCGATGTTGTCTGAGACACTCAGACTTTTACAAGAAGGTGTTGATCCGGCGCATCTTGATAAAATAACTAAAAAATTTGGTTTTCCGGTTGGACCAACGACGCTCTGCGATGAAGTTGGTATTGATGTTGGTGCTCACATTGGCGTTGATTTAGCTAAAGCATTTGGTAAACGTTTCCATGGCGGAGACTTTAATATTATGACTGATATGGTAAAAGCTGGTTTTCTTGGCAGAAAGTCGGGTAAAGGAATTTTCCTATATGAAGCCGGTAAAAAGGAGAGAGACGTTAATTTAGGTGCTCTAGATATATTAAAGAAATATCATCTTGAACCCAAAGGAAGTATTTCTGATGAAGACCGCCAACTACGAATGGTATCACGATTTGTAAATGAAGCTGTATTGTGCTTAGAAGAAAATATTCTTGCTAATCCGGTAAGTTATCAATATTATTTATTGTTATTAATAATAATTTATATACAATTAAAAGATATATGGGTCATACATACCATGTCAAATCGACCAATAGTTGGAATCGACCCCTTTCGATTTGGACAAATTTTGGTCAGAAGGTTTCTTTTATCATATAACGAAGTTCTGCCAATTTTGGGGAAAAAATTTTTAAAATTGCCAAATTTTGAATTTGTGAAAATTGTCAAAAATGTCGGTCGACAATAAATTTTTGGCTCAAATTTTTTTGTATACTACCTTGTATCAATTTTAAAAGATCCTGAAATTTTTTTTTTTGCTCAAATTTTTTTGTATACTGCCTTGTACCAATCTTAATAGATCCTGAAATTTTTGGAACTGTGTTTTTTGTTTTTTCAAAAATATGAATTTTTGAAATTTGTTAAAAAAAAAATTTTTCTTAAAATTTTTTTTTTATTTTTATCCTAATTGAGTTTGGCAAATCGCGCGTAATTTTGATATTTTGAACACTTAAAATTTCATTTGGTGGCATAATGATGAGAAAAAAAACATTATAATTATTTAATCTATTCTACAGCTCGAGGGTGACATTGGCGCTGTGTTTGGTCTTGGATTTCCGCCATTCACCGGCGGACCCTTCAGATGGGTAGACTGGTATGGAGCACATAAACTTGTTAATAAAATGGAAGAATTCCAGAGTCACTACGGCGAAGCTTTTACACCATGTCAAACACTCCAAGACATGGCACGCGACTCTTCGAAAAAATTCCATGTTAAGTAAATTAATAAATATTTTTTTATTTGATAAATTTTTCAAAGTAAAACTAAAATATTTTTATATAGAAATTAATTATAATGAAATTAATTCTGAAATTTCAAAAGTAGTATCTATTGCTACTATTAAAAAAACAGTTAAAAAATAATTTTTGATATTAATATTATTATTATTATTATTATAAATATTAACTTTTGTTGTCGCATTTTTAAATATTTATATATAACTATAAGATCAAGACTTCGATAATTCGATATTTTTCGATAAATGTTACTGTTATTAATGCAATGGAAATTTATATATTGTAACTTTTTGTAAGAAAACGATAAATATTGAAACTGTAAAATATATATAAATATTTCTAAGAATATATATATATATAATTGTTACTTTTATTTCGTGCTCTTGAAAGAAAAATAAAAATGTTTTATCTTGAATGTTATCACCAACGCATATATTAGATCATCCGACTTTTCTAACTGCGAATAACTCGCGAAATATGGATGGAGAAAAAAAAATATGAACGCGTGTATAAAAATTATAAATACAAATATTTAAATGCAACATTAATGATCGTAATTTATTATAATTTATAATAAGTTAATGCTCGCAAATCAATCAAATATCCGCTATCAGTACTTGTATCATGAATTTTTCAGTGTTAATTATTTTCAATTGGAATAATTAATTGCAACAAAATCAAACTTTTGCATCATCTAATAAAATAACCAGTCGCGCACCTTGTTTGATGTAATTAAAACATACAACCACTCAGGAAGAGGCTGGATCCTTGGCTGATGCAAGCGAGTTACTAGTTTCGTCAGTATTGCTACGAAAAACTCTTTACCTTAACGGCTGATTAGCCTATGTTAATCTATGCAATAACATAAAGAGTTGAAAGTAACAAAGTGGAAAATAAATTTATTAAATAATATATAATCTAACACGTTGTACTGGGCGTAGATCGATTACGCCCACAATTATTTACAGTCTTCAATTATTTATTTATATAAATTCATTAACGTTAATCGGTAAATTATTAATTTTCTAAGAGAAAAATTCACAACAATTAACGTCAAAATAAAGTTAATAATTTCGAGTAAATCCATTTATTTGCATACGTACTTTAAGTAGGAGTTATAAAAAGAAAAAAAACAAATCTTAAAATAATACGTTATCATAAAAATAATAATCTATATATAAAACTTCTTAATAATGTCTGCAGTGATTGATTTACCGCGTGTATCAAGCATCATTTCATTGTCACTCAATGTCCGCGTGATAATATATTATCGAATAAAATGTATACAAGTATATGACCCGTACTCGTTATATTTGTTATCGTTTGATAACATCAACTGTTTTTTTTTCTTTTTCCGTAATTATAATATAATATAATATAATCATGCTGGTTATTCCAAGTTACAAATATATGACACATGCTAATATTACTAATATTTTATAAATAGTTAACGAGTACAGTAACATTTAACTATTACTTTATTTATTTATTTACTTATTTGATAATATTTAGATCTATAAAAAATTATCATGCTTTACTTTTTATACTATTAATTGCATATAATTATTAATTTCTATTCATATTTTATTGAAGATAAAATAATTATTATTAAAAATTGATTCATTTGATTTATCTAAAATAATTACCCGTAAAAATTTAGTGGCCAGGTGATAAAATACGTATAAAATTCGTGAAGTGACTGATATACTTATATATAACTAAAATATTTATATATCTAGCAATGCACGCGTCTTTGTGATTGTAATTACACGGCTTCACGTGATGGAAACTTTTTTTCCCAATCTGCAATTTAAAAAAAATTTTTTAATTTAATTATTATTTATAAATACGCAACAATACGATAAATTTATATTTATATAATTAAATTCTATTTTTAAAAAAAAAATTAAATGCAAAAAAATATAAATAAAACTGCATAATCAGAATGAAAGTTTGGATACGTCATGAGTCATAAGAGAACGAATATAAAAAAAAAAAAAAATGAATAAATTATTATTAATGTATGTATGTACATGTAATAAATATCGTGCCCACAAGACGCCGTAATCATCGGGGTGTCATGAATTGAAATCGGTCTCAGACGAGTGTAACATCTCTCGTTCACGTGTTATCATAAAAAGACCATTATTATTATTATAATAATATGAATTGTTAGCAGCTTCTGATCACATTTTTAAGCTTCTGTCTATAACCTTCTTGTCTGGCGCTAATATATAAATATTTAAAAAAAAAAAAATATTTATTTATTAATACTTAACAGGAATTAAAAATAAAAATAATCTGTTATTTATGAAAGTATATAAGACTTATTTATTTAATAATTATGTACAAAAAGATTTCCCGTTCTCAAGTCTTGGTTTAAATGAGTTACAGTAGATTAAGAATAAAAAGTAATTATTTACAATAACTCTAGTAATATTAGTCGTAGATAATCTTAATCGAGTCCATAATAATAATATTAATAATAATTAAAGATAAATGTACACTTAAAAGTTAATAATTTAAAAAGACTTTGTACAGTTAAACCCCATTTACCCACTCAAATAAACTATAAATAAATACTCTAAATTTTGTTACTCTGGGTCAAGAGTTTTAACGCATTACAAATCACAGACACACTTAGGTACTTAGTTTATAAACAACTTGCTCCTTCTAATATTACAATTATCGTAAATGATAACAAACTTTTACAATAATTAAATATCATCAATAGTTATCGCAATAAATATTTTTTTTTTTTTAACAATATACATTTCCTTTCGTAATAAGTAGGTGAAAGAAATAAGACCTTACGCGGTCTGATGTCTGCCCTCGACTAGAAGAATATCTGACACGTCTACGTCGACCTCTAACTGATCAATAACAGCGAGATGAGATAAGACAAGTTCTTTAAACTTGCTCCTGCTTTTGTTTTTATTATTGCTTATTTTTCCATTAGTCTCTTTAAATAACCATTCTATATAATCAGTTATCTTCTTCAGTATAATATTCGTAATTACGAATAAAAAATTTTTAATTCTATATCAAAGACTCTGGGAGATAAATGTCTGCGTATTACATTGTTGCAATCGCGGTGCTATTACTGGAAGTAAATTTATTCTAAGTGGCGCAGGTGTGACTGTATTGTGAGATTGAAGATGAGCAGCTGTTGGTAATGATAATGATGAAGACGACGAAGATGAGGATGATAATGATGAAGACATTAACGCACTCGATGATAAATTTCTATCTTTAGTGTGTCGCTTAACGTGCTTAGCTAAATGGTCACTTCTCATGAATCGCCTTTGACAAACAGAACAAACGAATTTTTTTTCACCCGTGTGAGTTCTCTTGTGTCTGGACAATTCATCGCTACGAGAAAATCTCCTTCCACAGTCCTCATAAGGGCACGGAAAGGGTCGTTCTCCAGTGTGTGTCCTCTTGTGAGCTTTAAGATGCGATGACTTGAAGTAGTTTTTACCACAACCCGGGTACTCGCATTCATAAACTCGTCTACGTGCTCCAGAGTCTAGACTGCCGGGGGCTGTAGAACTTGTCGTTGTTATTGTCGGTGATGTGACAAAGAGAAGTGGCGTTGCTGTTGATGTGGGTAAAACTAAAGGCGTACCCAGGATACCAGCTACCATTGTGATAGCAGGCGGTTTAGGTGCTAGCAGTTGTAACTTCTGACATTGACTCTCTCGGTCTGTGTTTTTGCTGTTAACAATAATCTCTTCTTTGCGTAGACTCATCTTGAACTTGAGGGTCTTCAAAATGTTTTCTGTCTCAACGACTGGCTTATCTAACGTAACTGCTGCTGGTGGTTTTAAACGCAAAGATAATCCTACTACTGGTGACATGCCAGCGGTTGAGTTTTTTATAGATAAATTTGCTGGACTGCAGGTACCATCTCGATTTGCGCGCATTATTACTGAAGCCCGCACTGGCTCTGGACTTGGTGGAGGCGTTCCATCTAATAATAACTGTAATGAAAAAAAAAAAAAAAAATATAAGTATGTTAATTTAATTCAATTGATTTTTAAATTTAAGAAAATTTAAATGAGCTAGTAACAATAAAAAAAATATAATTTTTTATTCTCTTGGTAATGCACACACAATCGATAAGTCAGATATTTTACCTTTGCTAATTCTCCACATTGCTCAGTGCATCTGATGCGTTTGCGTGGGGGCTGTTCATCTTCCTCTGTGTCCGACGGCTGAGGTGTGGGTGGAAGATTGGGATGGGCATTATCGTGTTTTTTTATTTCACTATTTAGAGTACTTTTTTGGAATAATTTTTCACCAAGTAATGACGCGACACTGAACGACGACTGAAGTGGTTCATTCTGCAATAAAAATGAATTATTATTATTGTTATAATGTTTAAGTTTGTTAAATATAAAAAATAAATTTATTCAGTAAATAAAAAAAAAAAAATCTGTATCGATATCAATCAATCAATAAAAATTAAAATCAATATTTTTATCATAAATTTTAAGATAAATAAAAATGATCAATAATCCGCGAGCTGTGGCAGAGCGCCGAAATTCAAACGACCAAACAAACAATAATATATGGTAATGATAACAATAACATTAAAAAATATAATTAAATGCAAATATGTATTTTATAAATAATAATTAAGAAAAAACAAAATAGTTACATGAGTGTATTTAAGTTGAGGCGATGCTGGTGGTGATAGTAGCACATTATTAGAATTCATGTTTATTTTATTAATTTATAAATAATAAAAGCACTTTTCACCAAAAAACATGTAGTAGAAAAAAAAATAATAAATAAAATAAAAAAATAATATTAATGCAACTAGATGTGTTAAACGAATAATAGAATAACGAAAAATTATTTGGTTTAACAATGCAAAAATAAAGATGATAGTTGCTGCGAGTCTGAAAGAGTAATGAAGTTTTCTCAGGTCGAGCAGCAGAATGTTGTTGACGAATGTGTTGGTGATCATGCGGCGTGCGATCGATCGACCAATCGCATCTAGGGGCTCGCTCTCTCCGGCCAATCAGCGGCAGGTAGTCAGTTAGTGGCAGCGTGATCATCAGCGTGCTGTTCACGTGCTCTCTGTATGACTGACTATAACTGAGGTCGTGATCGTGACGTCAGTCTGCGTGGTTGAGTGCTCGATACGTCATGGCATTCATGGCGCGCCCCATGCCTTGTAAACACATAATAATTACCTATAAATACCTATACTATATCTTTTCTATATAATATATTAAGTATTTAAACCTATATCTTTTAAATGTTACATTTTAACTTACAGAATATTAATATAAATATAATTTTTTATTTGGAATCATCACCACTCGGTTGAGTAACCAAAACAAGAAGAGTACAACCAACCCTACTGAACTGTATAAATATACTACTTACATATTTCAATGACATAAATGAAATTATTTCGTCTAGATCTTCATACCAAACATCTGATGATGTTCATGTTTAATTTTAGAACATGCTTTGTATTTTGTATCCTTATTATTATATTACGTAGCTTAATGCTGCTTAGTAAAGAATATTAGGTCACATTTGTTGACGAGCCCCCGAAATTCATTTATCAAAACGTCAATAATATCTATAGTATAACTAAACAGGTACAAGTATAAATAATTATAATTACAACTCAGCATACAATTTAATTATTTTAAGAGTAATATATGATAGTGACGTTTGTTCTAGATAGTTATATGTTGTGTCAATGCAGATGCAGATGAAGTACAGTTGGTATTTTTTACTACATCCCGGCGTGACGGCATAATAAATTTATTCAACGGCTGTAGGTTACATTATAGTCTGCAGGTATTTAGATTTTTTAGGTAGATATCGTAGAAATACCTATATTTATATACATATGTAATATAACGTGGCTTGTGGACACGATAGCGTCTACAATTCTCAACGGATTTTGATGAAACTCGGTGCACATATTCTTTGGGTAATTACCTTGGACGAGTTCGAAGATGAGCAAAATCGATCAATTAGTTTAGAAATGGCGGCCATTTAAAATTTTCAAAATAGTGAAAATCACGTTTTTGGTCACTTCTTTGATGTATAACTTTTGATTGAACAGAGATAGCTAATTTTTGAAAAATTTATGTAATAGCTCGGCTGCCCAATTTTAAAACAGTAACTACAAAATTTTTATACCTGATTTTTTTTAGTATTGCTGCATTTCTTATAACTTTTAAACCTTAATTTCAAGTATTTTTCCTTAAAAATATTTATATTTAAGTATTTTTTATTCATAAATCAAATTTTGCACGCCTCATAAGCGAAGCGTTGAGGTTGTGCTCTACTCTCGACATTTCAAAAAAAGCACTTTTCTCGAAACTGAAATTGATTTTTTGTTATTTATATCGCACTTACAGGTTAATATGAGTACACTTATATCAAGTCGAATAATTTGTCAGGCACATAAAATATATTTCAATAACAATTTTTTTGTTTAACATAGTAAATAATAACATTTAACATAATTTTTTCTGGACGTCCGTGTATGGATGAGTGTATGTGGCAGGGAAATTGGTCGAAAAAATGATTTTAAAATCTTAAAATTGTCAGTTACTGTGTTTTGAAATTGAGCAGCCGAGCTCATTAAATTACCTTTAATTTGAAGTATATAGCATTGACATATTTTGATCATTTTTAGTTATTTTATCAAAGTTAAGAGTGCAACGGAACCATTTTCAGGCAATGTGTAGTACAGCCGACTTATGAATGTTATTCTATCAAGAATTCTTAACAGATCCTAACGAAATTTAGTATATAGATTCCATGACACTGTTAGCAGACGTCTAAAAATTTTTGATTTTTTTTTTTTAATTAAATTACGATTAAAATGATATTTCTAAAAAATTGTACTGATAGTTTTTCATGTTTTTTACATGTGAAATTTTTTTTTTAATTGTTTAATTGAAATTTTTTCAAAAAAAAATTTCTAAAAATTTTGAAATGTCAGCTAACTTCATTTTCATATAGATTCCTTGGACAATTAGCTTGCATGAGCCCTAAAATGAGCGAAATTTGTCTATAAGTTTAGAAATGGTAGCTCCTCAAAATTATCAAAATAGTGAAAATCACGTTTTTGGTGACTTCTTTGTTGTATAACTTTCGATTGCTAATTTTTGATAAATTCATGTGAAAGCTCATAAAATCGCCTTCAATTTGACGTTTATAACATTGACATTTTCACCATTTTTACTTAGTTTTTAAAATTTAAGAGTGCAATTGAACTATTTTTAGGCAATGTGTAGTAAACCGACTTATGTACGTCATTATATCAACAATTTCATTCAGTAAAATCTACCTTCCATTTCGAGTGTAGCCGAATGGCGTTTTTTTTCTAAGTTGTTATTTTTATGATTATTGTGATTGTGGTTTTTTTCTGATATTGTTATAGATAATGAATGTGGTAACGCAAGGTGCATCTTATTGCACGGCCTTGAAGGATGAGGATAAAGACTACGCGCCTCATAGTCTCAGTATACAATGAAGTCGTTTGACAAGTTCGTTCACTTATATGCTTAAAGCATATATTACGAAACATATTAATGATATGGAAAAGACGGTATTTATTTTTCTATTTTCGTTTTTAACCATCGGGTATATTGAGTCTCTGGAAATAAATAACAAAATTAATGTTAGAATTTTATTTAGTTCTGGCACAAGTATTTCTGATTATTTTATTTGTGCTGTAAATATCAAAGTGTAAATTTAAAAATAATTTTATGTAATAATTTTAGCATAAAAGGGCAAGTGTTAAAAAAGTTATATTATTATACTAATCAATTTTTTTTTTCTAGTAATAATTAATCATGAATGACCGGTAAGTAATATTAAATGGCTAAGTTTAATTATCAAGGTCAATTTTTATTTTCTTTTCTGCTATCAATTTCTTCGGTTTATCAATTTCTTAAAATAATTCAGTTTTATTGTGGGTATTATAAGTAACATGATTACACATATTGTAATTTTAATTTTCATTAATTACACAATTTATAAATAAAAAATGTTGACTTTTAATATAATGATTTATAAAGTATTTTTTAAATCAGTACAAATATTATATTTTTAAATTATCTTTATAGGGTACAAAATAATAAAGATTAATTTTATGTTTTTGCTCACATATATATTTTAAATTGATATGCGTTTTCACACGGCTGACGTTCCCACGTCGATTCAAAGATATCATTCAATATAAGTTACTTATTATTACAAGATAAGAACGATGTGTGTTTTAAATAAAAATTTAAGATTTACTATATATTTTTATATAAAATAACATGCTACTACATTTGCGTAAACATTAAGATTAGATTTTTTCAAAAAAATAAATTATAAGTTAAAAAACAATTTGCGTATTTAATAAAATAAGACATTTATAGGAAAAAAAGTTTTAATAATGGAACATTATGTTTTAAATTTGTATTCGAATGGTATTTAATTAAAATACACAATTCGCGAGGATTAAATATTAGATAAAATAATAAATCAAATAAAGTATATTAATTAATTAATTAATTTAAATACTAGCGATTATTATTCGTACACTGAAAAAAAAGTTTTCTGCTCCGGACGATACGAGATCGCTACTATGACGATCTACACTTTACCATCTAGAGGAGAGTGAGGTTAGGAAAACGGTATACTACGGTAGCTATACGTTTCGTGAATGGCACCGAATAAATCGTGACGGTTACGATTCTGACTGCTACTCGTAGCTGAATGGATTGTACCCGTAACGATACACCTTTTACCATACAGTAGATGTCGCCAAGCAGAAAACTTTTTTTTCAGTGTACAAGGCTTTCCTAATATAAAATTGAGATGAAATGTATGTGAAACCAATTTATTCGTGATGTGATTGGTCGAAAATAAATATTCTCATTCTGATTGGTTGAAAGTGAATATAATATACCTAAACGACACATAAATATATCATGCCAATAAATATGACGCGCGCGCTTGCGCGCGAAAATTAAATTCTAGTCCTAATATAAAATTGAGATGAAATGTATGTGGCATCAAACTATTCGTAACGTGATTGGTCGAATATATCATAAGCATGAAAATATATGCAAATTCTATAGTCAAGACGCGCGCTTGCGCGCGAAAATTTGAATTCTAGTATACATTAAACGTTATATTATAGCGAAGCAAATATAAATAAAAACAACCCGACACGATATGAATGGATCAGTCGTCTGCTGCGTGAACGATAAAATATATGTGTCGTTTATATACATATGTACCTCTGTATGTATGTGTGTATATTAGGTGTAATGAAATATTTTATCAGCAAACTTATCATCAAGTATTTTTTTTTGTATCAACGAGGCTTCTCACTCTTAGTCAATAGTAAACTATTTCGATTTGAAATAAATAATTATGCTGTTGGCTAACGATCGAGGAATACTCATATAAAATTATCTATTAAAAAAAATTGATTAATTAGAATATTAATAGAATAGAAATATTATTTTTAAAAACAGGAAGTTAGATTAATGTTATGAAGTGATAATATTTTTTCTTAATCATAAGTTCATTACACACATATTATAATACATAAGTATTTATATGTATATGTAAACAAGATATTAGATTAAAAATAGATTTTAGTTAAAAAATCGCATTGTTTGGTTAATTCAAAGTTATTGTATTGTTTATTATTTTGTGTGTCAAAGTATCATCAGT